TTCCCCTGCTTGTGTTCCCTCTCTTGCTGTGTCTCTGTCAAATAAATAAATAAAATCTTTAAAAAAACAACAACAAAAAAACACAGATCAACCTCATTTTTAAAAAACAATCTCCAGTTGTTATACACCATAATTTACTTAGATTGATTCTGGTTTTTCCCTATTAAAACTATGCATCAGTGAACATCCTTATGTATGTAAATATGTGCAGTTATACAAATATTTCGGTAAGATTATTTTTAGCACCGGAACAACTAGATTCATTGTTTTAAGTAACAGATTAAGATATAATTCACATACCATAAGACTTAAGCACTTAAAATGTACAATTCAGTTTTTAGTATATCTGTGGATTGTACAACCATCACCACAATCAATTTTATTCATTTTTTTTATAAGATTTTATTTATGCATTTAAGAGAGAGAGCACAAGCAGGGAGGAGGGGCCTCAGAGGGAGAGGGAGAGGGAGAAGCAGGCTCCCTGCCAAGCAGGGAACCCAATGCGGGGCTCAATCCCAGGACCCTGAGACCACGACCTGAGCTGAAGGCAGTCGCTTAACCAACTGAGCCACTCAAGCGCCCCACCACAATTAATTTTAAAATCAACATTTTCATCACCCCTAAGAGAAACCCTGAACTCCAATCTCTCTTCTTTCCAACCCTTGGCAACCATTAATCTACTTTTTGTCTCTATGACTTCACCTAGTCTGGACAGTTCATATAATTTGAATTATACAATATGTGGCCTTTTTGATGTGGCTTTTTTCACACAGCATAATGTTTTCAAGGTTTATACATAGTGTAGCATATATTGGTACTTTACTCTTTATAATGGTCAAATAATATTCCACTGTATGAATATATGACATTTTATCTATCCATACATCAAGTGAAGGACATTTGGAATGTTTCCACTTTGGGCTATTATGAATGTTATGAACATCTGTTTATAAGTGTTTGTATGGACATATGTTTTCAATTCTCTTGGGTATATACCTAGGCACAGAACTGTTGGATCAAAAGGTTATGTGTATTTGAACTTTGACAAAATAATGTTAACACTTTTAGATTTAGGTTTTTAGAGCAGGCACTACTGAGTCAGTAAAAAAGGTATGAAATAACAAAAGATCAGGGGGTCCTGGGTGGCAGAGTCGGTTAAGCGACCGACTCTTGGTTTTGGCTCAGGTTGTGAGATCAAGCCCTGTGTTGGGCTCCGTGCTTAGCACAGAGTCTGCTTAAGACTCTCTCTCCCTCTGCCCCTCCCCACTGCATGCACAAGTGAGCGCTCTCTCAAAATAAATAAATCTTAAAAAAAAAAAAAGAAATAACAAAAGATCAATAAACTTATTAGCTAAGTGTCATGCTAAGGAAGGTTTGTGCAAAGTAATCAAACTGAGAGCAAAGTAAAAGGGGGACCTTGAAAAATGACTCACCACGGCACTAATTCAAATGTATAACTGAAGTTGTTTGTTTTTTTTTTTTAATAAAGGTATTTGCACTCAGAATGTCCATTCCCTCAATTCAGCTGATGAACCAACCTAGGTCCCAATCTAGGCCAGATTTCTGGGTTATATAATCATACGTTCTTTTTCTTCAGGGTATGTAGTTTCTTTGATTATCTGATTAGTGTTGGCCCCATCACTTCTCTAACTACATGAAAGTAGGAGCAGTGTCTGTTTTTCATCTACCGATGTAACTCCTCAGAGCCTGCAGAATGCATTACACAGTTGGGAGCCCTCAATAAGTATTTGTGAATGAATCTGCATGACAGTGATTCTCTTTAATACTAAGTTTGATTACCATCCTTTTCTCCAGGGTCCATGATAATTCACTATTAAATCATTCTCCTTGATTCCCTTTTTTTTAAAGATTTAATTTATTTGACAGAGAGAGAGACAGCGAGAGAGGGAACACAAGCAGGGGACGTGGGAGAGGGAGAAGCAGGCTTCCCGCTGAGCAGAGAGCCCAATGTGGGGCTCAATCCCAGGACCCTGGGATCATGACCCGAGCCAAAGGCAAGACGCTTAATGACTGAGCCACCCAGGTGCCCCTCCTTTAAAAAAAAAAAAAAAAATTTATTTATTTAGTTTAGAGAGAGTGACCGAGCAAGCACACGCATGTACGCACAGGGAGGGAGAGGAAAAGGGAGAGAATCCCAAGCGGACTCCACCCTGAGCACAGAGCCCTACACAGGACTCAATCTTATGACTCTGAGATCATGACCTGAGTGGAAACAGAGTCAGAGGCTTAAATGACTGAGCCACCCAGTGCCCCCCTGCTTCCTTTCTTCTCACAGATCATGACAGAATTATACAACCATCATTACAATCCAGTTTTAGAATATTTCTTTCACCACCCCCGCCCCAAATTCCCTTGAGCCTGTTCAAACAACTAATTTCACCTGAGCTAGAAGAGCAGCAAAGCTCAGCATGTTTTCCTAAACAAAGCTTCCAATGGCAATTCTGAGAGCCAAGCAAAACATTTGTTCCTGGATAACTAACTGGCTTTGGTGGTCTACTTTTTAGGCCAGATACCTTCTTTTCCTTTCCTTTAAATCTCTGCTGGCCAACTTGCCATTTTGAATATTTATAGCAGCTTGTCAACCATTTCATTCCATCTCAGATATCACTAACTTAGTGAAATGGAGTAACTACTGATTCAAATTTGGTTAATCTAGAAAACTGTCTCAGGGAGTTAGAATCACTCAGAGTCTGAATTCAACAGGCAATGAACGACTCTGCTAGCAGAATATGACAAAGAAAAAGCGAACAGTATAACAGGAATAAAGTTAAGCTCATTTAAATGACTTACCTCAGAAAAAAACCCACTATATTTTGATGATGGGCTTTCTGTTTGTGAAGAACCAGAATCACTGGAGTTAACCAAATATGTTCGACTATCATGGCGTAATTTTTCAGGCAGGTGGCCTGTACAAGCCAGTTCATTTTCTTTATTTGCCATGTCACAGCCCCCAGTTCTAGGGGACTGTTTTTTTCTGTAACAAGGATTTAGAAAGGGATGATGCACTTTCTTTCTGCGATAGATCACCTTACGTAGTTTATCTGGGCTTTTCACAGCTTGTCCAACTGTTCTGTAAGAAGAATTGATTTGCTTAAATGAAAAAGAACTACATGAAAACCTTTACAACTTTTTAAGCAGAAAGATTTAATAGGTCACATTTTGTGATCACAATCCACTAAAATTCGAAGTAAATAGAATTTTAAAAATCCTAACTCTTAGATCAAAGAAGAAAATTAAAGAGAAAAAATTACAAACCTACTGGAAAGCAATGAAAAGGATAATACTTTATACTAAATGAAACTGAAGAAGCATAACTATATGCTTTAAAAATGAAATATATCTGAATTGTGCAAATTTGAATATACATATATATTTTAAAGATTTTTTATTTATTCATTTGAGAGAGACAAAGACAGGGAGTGAGAGCATGAGCAGGGGAGGGTTCGAGGGAGAGAGAGAAGCAGACTCCCTGCTGAGCAGCATGCCCATCGCAGGGCTAGATCCCAGGACCCCAGGATGATGGCTGAGCCGAAGGCAGACCCTTAACTGACTAAACCACCCAAGACCCCAAGAATAATTATTTTGATTAAACTTAAGTATATTTAATTTGTTTAAATAAGATAAGACACAATAGAGCAAATCTCACAGTTTCATATGATGATTCTCAAAAGTTTTGGCCTCAGGATAGTTTGCAACTCTTAAAAATTACTGAGATTTCGAAAGAATTTTTTTATGTGGGCAATATCTACTGATATTTACTGTATCAGACACTGAAACTGAGGAAACTTACTGATTCGTTTAAGTAATAAGATTACATATTAACACAGAATATTTTACCAAAAAAAACCCGTTTCCCAAAACAAAATATAGTGAGAAGAATGGCACTTTTTTACATTTGTGCAAAATCTCTAATATTTAGTTAAGACAGCTGGATTCTCATATCTGCTTCTGCATTCAATCTACTGTGGTATCAAATATCATGTAGTCCCTGGAAAACTCTAAGAGTGAAAATCAAGAAGGTGAATTAATGTTATTGTTATGAATATAGTCTTCACCTCATAAACTACCTGAAAGGACTCCAGGAACCCCCGCTGTCCTCAGATCCATTCTGAGAAGCAGTAGTTTAGTAGAAAGTGCTTTTAGAGTTCAAAAGAGCTGGGAACGAATGTCATTTTTACCACTTTCTGGCTGTATGACCCTGAACAAATCACAAATCTTTAGTTTTTCTCATCAATTGTTAGGGGCAATGATACCTTTCTAGTAGGATTGTTGTAAGGATTAGAGATAATACTGATGTGTTTTCCACAGAGAATGGCACACAGGGGCTATTTGACAATAAGTTACTTATTATAATAAAAGAGAATACTTTTTTTTTTTTAAAGATTTTATTTATTTATTTGAGAGAGCGAGAGAGCACAAGCAGGGGGAACAGCAGAGGGAGAGGGAGAAGCAGGCCCCCCACGAAGCAGGGAGCCGGATGTGGGGCTCAATTCCAGAACCCTGGGATCATGACCCGAGCTGAAAGCAGACTTTTAACCCTCTGAGCCACCCAGGTGCCCCGAGAAGACTTTTTTTTCCCTCCCTCTTTTTCATCCTTACCTAGCTTTCAATATTTCTGTTTCCCACAAACTTTAAAGAAGCTCTTACCTATTTATGTAAGCAGCCAACTGTTTTGGAGATTTCTTAACCTGAAAAACAAAAGGTAGATAGTTAACAGCATATTTAAGTTCTGTGACTGATATCAACAAATCTGAAATTCCATAGTTAAGTTTTTCAGATTAAAGCAGCAGTCTCAGTCTGTAGTTACAACAACACTGTGCATAGATATATCTGACAAAGCAACATGTCCATCTCCCTATTTTCCATGCCACTAGTCATATATTTTACTTACAGGGTACTTAATAAGTGTGTTGACTTTTAATATCGTTTAAAAGAAATTATATCAGCATGAATGAGCCCTGCAATGGTGAACAAAAAGCACCTCTGAGATTCCTCTTTAGAATTAAACTATAATATTCAAATGATATCATATCAAAACAGCATACTGTCTATAAACTTTATAGAGCTTTTGGAATATAAAGTTTTCAGTAGTTCATTAATTGTACTTAATTCTGGGAGATAAGCAAAGTATCACCTTCCTATCGTTTAAATAATTTAACCAGAACTATCCATAGACTTAACAGTTCAAACTATCTGTGATATACTGAATGACCATGTCTCCTCAAAATTCATGCTGAAATCCTAATGCCCAAAATGAATGATATTAGGAGGTGGGGCTTCTAGGAGGTGATTAGGTCATGAGGGTGGTGCCCTCATGAATGGGATTAGTGCCCTTATAAGAGAGACCCCAGGGAGCTCTTTTGCCCTTTCTACCACGTGAGGAAACAGCAGAGAAGACAGCCAACCATGAGCCAGAAAGAGGCTCCAACCAGATACCAAATTGGCCAGGGTCTTTATCTTGGACTTCTGCCCAGCCTCCAGAACTGTGAGAAATAAATTCCTGTTATTTATAAGTCACTGTCTATTGTATTCTGCTATAGTAGCATGAAAAGATTAAAATACCGTCTTACCCATTACCTAGAAACCATGCGCTTACCTCCTTCATGTTCTTATTAGTAAAATTAGAGATCCTTTTTCTAGGAAGATCAGTGGAATGATCCTCAATATTATTACAAAAGGCTCGTTTTTTAACATTGTGGGCTTCAGATGCCATAATCTCTTAAATACCTAAACAACAAAACAAAAATAATAAATGGAAAATACAAAAAGCAAAAGAGCCTGATCATTAACAGACATATAAAAATATAACACTATGTAAAAGAGGTTCATGAGTAAAGCAGAGAACATAGTTCTAATTTATACACATTTTAAAACTAAACAAAGGAAACAGAAGGCAGGGCATTCCAGGAAATTAGGCTCCTCCTGTTCTCATTCTTTATTTGCAGCCAGTTAACAATAATATGGCATATTTTTTGCCAATGCAACATGTCAATCTCCCTATTTTCTATATCACCAGCCATATATTAAATTTAAATTTACAGGTTATGAAATCAGGTCTATATAGTAAGTATCAATGACATCCAAATGTATGGAAGCCTAGTCTTAGAATCAAATCACTGGGTCAAATACAACTACAAGCAGCAGAGGAACAAAAATCAAACTATATATATCTGATTTGTTTTATGCCTAATCCTTAAATTTTTCTTTCATTCTTACAGTTAGTTCTCCAGAGCTTTCCTCTACCTTTGAAAAAACAATCCACAATTTTCTATTCCTTCAATTATATCCAAAGAGGGGGAAATAGATACTATTACTTCCTTTATATAACAGAATAAATTAGTGATTCCCCCACTTGCACTCACATTTCACATAGGAAGTTTATTTCAGGCCATGACTGAACACAAGTTCCTCCCTCGTTCCTTTTTTAAATGTTTACTGAGCATTCACTATATGCCAGGCCCCAGAATTAATGTAGATGACAGACCAGAGATGCTCTTCTAAAGAATCATTTGGGAAGCTTTTAGAAAATACATCTTTCTGGGCCCTAACTTCAGATTATAACTCAGCAGGTCTCTGGAGTGAAGCCCAAAGCAATTATATTTTTAAAAAGCTCCACAGCATTTCTGATGTACACTCTTAGAAGAAAATCTGCCTTAGAGAACTTTCCAAAAATATGCACAAACACATGAAAATTTGCAAATAATTTCAGGGTATTCTAAGATTTCTGGCCATTAATCCATCCAGCTGCACCCCTAGATTAAAAAACCTTTAGGATGAGACTTTTAAAAAAATAGAGTAATACAATAAACACTCCAACAGAGGGGCAGTCATGTGAGTCAGCAAAGCTTCACTGAGCAGACTTAAAGGACAAATAGCACATTGAAAAAATAGCATGTGCAGAACTGAAAGGCATGAAGCAACATGGCTTGTTTGGCAATCTCTTAAGAAGATGCATGTGACTGGATCTTAGGCTGGAGGTGGGTTGTTAGCAGAGTAAAAACTGAGGCTGGAGAGATAGAAGCTGGATCATAAAGGATCTTTTGCACAAGGTAAGCTTTTCTTTCTTAAAGAAAGGGGGACTTTTATTAAAGATAATGGACTAAACTTAAGCAATTACTTCTACCCTTCCCTGAAACCTCATTACAATGATAGTAGAAGGTTTTTAAAGGCATAAAACCCATAAGGACAAAGAAGAAAAGATGAGTTGATGGCAATAACATTTTGGAAACTGCAAAGCAGAAGTGATAAATGACAGCAGATCTGAGAAAGCGAAGACCTAAATCAGCAATGAGGAAAGGTAAAAAGCAGAATCCCCAAAAGGCCCAGGACTTGGCAATATTGAGGATCTCAAGAAGTGGGGATAAATGTGGGCTTAAGAATAAGGAGAATGAATATCCATTTAAGACACAATTAGCCCCTAGATCCCTTTCCCCATTCCAATAAAATTTTATTATATGGAAAATTTAAAACAAGAGTCCTTGGGATAGGAAACACCAGGCACGAATGAAGGAGAGGAGTATTTTCTAACAGGGGATCAAGTGAAAGTTTATATACTAAATGTTGAGATCTAAGCTTCTTTCTACCATTTGCCTCATGGAAGCCTGAGGCCAGCCTTATACACTCCAGGAAGAGTACAGAAGATCCTTCTTTGGGAACTCTGATCAGTCCCAGAGGAAAGCACACATACATACACACACACATCTAAAAATATTGACATCAGTGATGGTCAAAGTCTCCCAAAGAACTGTTTTCCATCTTGATTATGGTGGTAGTTACCTGTCAAAACTAATATTACTATGCACAAAAAAGGGTGAATTTTTATATGTAAATTATATTTTAGTAAGCCTGACTTTCAGAAATCCTTGAGAGATAAGAACAAATTGTATACATGAAACACAAATGAGACAAAAAACAACAAAGATTTGGAAATTAAAAAGGATATAATAAAATAGCAAAAAAATCAGTAGAAGCTGGAAGAGAAACTTGAGGGTGTCTCCTGAAATAGAGAAAAAAAAAATAGGTAAGATTGGCTTAGAGGAACCAATATCCAAATAAATGGAATTTCAGAAAGAGTACAGAGAAAACAAAGAAGAAATCAAATAAATAAATGAAAACTGTACAGGACTGAAGGACATGAATTTCCACTTTGAAAGAGCACAATGAGGGGCAGCTGGGTGGCATTTGCCTTTGGCTCAGGTCATGATCCCAGGGTTCTGGGATTGAGCCCCACATTGGGCTCCCTGCTTGTGGGAGCCTGCTGCCTGCTCATTCTCTCTCTCTCTCATATAAATAAATAAAATCTTAAAAAAAAATAAACTGAAAGAGCACAATGAGGGTCAGCATTGTGGATGAAAATAGACCTAACAAGGCACATAATCGTCAAATTTCAGAGCACCAGAGAATCTGAAAACATATGAAACAAACAAACAATATCCCCTCCCAATGATGGAACAAATAGACAAATTCAACAAGGCTATGAGACAATACCATCACCAACAGGATAAAATCAACATTGATAGACAACTCCAACCAACAACAGCAGAACACGGACATGCCATGATAGTGATACAAGCTAAAACCACAATGATGTACTATTTCACAACCACTAGAACGGCTATAATAAAAATGACATACAAATGCTGAGAAGGATGTGGAGAAACTGGAAACCTCACCCATTACCATAGAAATGTAAAATGGCATAGTGACTCTGAAAAAGTTTGGCAGTTTCTTGAAATGCTAAATGCTGATTTACCATATGACCCAGCAATTCCATCCCTACATATTTATTCATGAGAAATGAAAGTTTATGTTGACACAAAGACTTGTATGCAAATGTTGATAAAAACATTATTCAGAATAGTCAAAATGTAGAAACAACCCAAATGCCTACCAGTTGGTGAATGGAAAAACAAAACGTGATATATCTGTTGGGAATACTACTCAACAACAAAAACGAACAAAATATTAATAGATGCAACAATATGTACAAACATCACCCTAAGTGAAAGAAGCCAAACACAAAAGATATTATGTTATTTCATTTATATGAAATGTCCATAAAAGTAAAGAGCATAGAGGGGCTCCTGGGTGGCTTAGTTAAGTATCTGACTTCAACTCGGGTCATGATCTCCGAGTCCTGGGATTGAGCCCCAACTCAGGCTCTCCACTCAGGGAGTCTGCTTGTCTCTCTCCCTCTGCCCCTCCCCCTGCTCATGCTCTCTCTCGCAAATAAATAAATAACATCTCAAAAAGAAAAAAAAGTAAAGAGCACAGAGACAGAAAGTAGATTAATGGTTGCCTAGGGCTGAGGGGGGAGTGAGAATAATTGCAAATGGACACAAGGTTTCTCTGGGGGTGATGGTGGTAATGGAATTTTCTAAAATTAGATTGTGGGGGCCCCTGGGTGGCTCAGTTGTTAAGCGTCTGCCTTCGGCTCAGGTCATGATCCCAGGCTCCTGGGATCGAATGCCACATCGGGCTCCCTGCTCGGCGGGAAGCCTACTTCTCCCTCTCCCACTCCCCCTGCTTGTGTTCCCTCTTGCTGTGTTTCTCTGTCAAATAAATAAATAAAATCTTTAAAAAAAAAAAAAAAAAGCAACTGTTGAGGCTCCTAGGTGTTTCCACAGTGCTGTTTGATAATATACAAAAAGAGAATGATCTGAAATGGGATTAAGAGTGGTTGAAGACAATGATTATAGAAAGGATACTCTTTTAATGCAAAATAATTAAAGAGAATAAAGAGCAATGTCTGGGAGATACTGAGAAGAGACCAAAATACTAACTTCACGTATAATTGTTCTGAACGTTGACTACAACATGTATTTTCTTAAATAAAGATAAGACAAAAAAAAAAAAAAAGGTAAGACAGTGATTGCTACGGATATTTTCTTGAAAAGGTAGGAAAAAACTGGCTGGTAGAAAGAGCTGGAGGGTTGAATTCCCCTTATACAGTAGCTATCTCTTATCAGAAAGATGAAAAGGGATCTATTCATATAATCTACTACAATGGCTGCCAAATGAAGAGATTAAACAGCTCTAAGTGTTCACATACTCCCTACCTACTCACAACGAGAAAAACTCATCATACAGGAATGAAACACGTCCAGACTTTTGTCTCTAATAACTTGTTACAGCTCAAAATCAAATTAATTTAAGCTTTCTTTTTATATTAATATAGTATATCAATCATTTACATTGCATTTAACTCTGCAATTTCACTAGGCCATTTCATTCCTCTTCTTAAAAAGCAAAGCATGAAAAAAAAAAAAGCAAAGCATGTTTGTGTAAAAAGAATTATGATAATATTCCTGGTATCAAGTATTCTCCAATTACCACCACAGACTCGCACAAAGGTCTTGAATGGTATTCCCCAAAAGTCTTGAGGTTGAAAACTGTACATAATCATGATTATGTAGTAATAAAATACATAAATAATAAAGAGGTTTTAGAATTTAAAGCCTTAGCTTAACGTTTTTTTAGCCCAGGAAATCAAGTAACTTGCCCAAAGACACTAGGCTAGTTAGTGGCAGAGTGCAGGGCATAGAATCCATGCTATTCTACCACAACTTTGTTTTCATTAATCCAATGCAACTGATTCCTAACCACAGTAGAGTCAACTTTCAATCCAGAATAGCTGAATAAGATGAGAGTACAATTCTAAGGAGCGGCCAGGAGAGAGACAAATGAACATAAAACTATAAAGGAGTCCTACCTCCTATCCTTCCCTT